GCTGCCCATCTGCTGCGGCCACAGCCTCACACAAATATTACATCTCATAACAAGCTGCCCTCCAGTGTTTATGATCCAGGAGCAGTTTCTTTCAAAGACAAACAGGTTTCCTTATTTAAACCAAGGACAAATGACAGCTGATGGGCTCTCGGCCAGTTCTTGTAAATAAAGTTTTATTGGCACACAGCTACACCCCCTCATTTACATATTGCTGCTGGAGGCTTTCCAGAAGGAGAAGCAGTGCCGAGAGGAGTGGTAGGGAACGGCAGGGCTCCCAAAACTGAAAATATTTACTCTCTAGCCCGGGATAGGAAACATTTGCCAAACCTTAATTTAGACACAAATATAACACACTCAGCAGGCTGCGCTAACTAGGAAACCCAGAGCCGGATTGAACGTCAAATTTCCGAGAGTCGTGACACATCCTCAGCATTTTCTTATTTCTCTGTGTCTGTGTGTTTTCGATCTTCCAATTCTAGTTCAACATTTTACTTAAAAATAACTAATATTCCCTGAGTACATGTCACATGCCAACAAACACTGACTCAAACGCCCAAATGTGTGCTTTTATTGAATTCTCACTATAAAGCTGTGGGGGAGATAGCAGCCTCCAATCACTGAGAAATGAGTGAATGAAATGAAGTCAGCTGCTGACTGCACAGGGGGAGTATTTACTATATGATTCAACCTAGAGTAATAGAGGAGCTGTCGGGAACACCCTGGGTGTCCAGTGTGCCTGAGAGAGTGGACAGGGCCCACACGGTGCCTGCAATCAGTGCCTCACATGATTATAAGATGTTCCCAGGGACTGGAAAGACGGCCCAGTGGTTGTTCTTCCACCGGACCGTGGTTCAATTCCCAGCACGCACAGGGCAGCTCACAACTGCCTGTAACTCTAGTTTCAGGGTATCTGGTCTGCAGACAGTGCTTGTACATGCGACACAGACATACATGCAGGCAAAACACCCAGACGCATAAAAGAAAGATGAATAAATGAGATGCTCTTGGTAGGGTGCGGTGGGCTTTCTGTTGTCTTTGTGTGTGTGTGTGTGTGTGTGTGTGTGTGTGTGTGTGTTTGTTACTGCAGATCAAGGTAAGCATCCATCTCACAAGGAATCTTCCAGACTCAAAGAGAAGCACCATGGCCCACAGTCTCAGCAGATGCTAAGCAGGACCCATAACTACCCATATCACAGCCTCTGAGACTCTGCTTCTCAGGGCTCCCCACAGTCGCAGAACCACACCTGTAAACAAGGACCGACATTACGTATAAATCAAGGCTCCTTTAAGGGTAAGAGGCCTACTTACAGTCTAGAAATGGAGATCATCTTTCGTGAAGTTAGATTCCTACACTCACCGCATCTTGGGGACATCCAAGACTTCATGGCCCAGCCACGGTTCTTTAGAAATTTGTTAAAGTACATATATATGGTTTTCTCTGGAACAAGCTTACCTGTCTGCAACCAAAATCATCTTCCTATCAACTCACTCTGGGAAACACTTCCCAAGCAGCAGTGGGGGCGGGGAGGCCGACAAGTCCAAGTGTCAGCATAGCTTCTGGGACCTCCAAGGAGAACCAGGAGGTTCTTGGTTACCTTGGCAAACATCTAGATCTCTCTGGGCCTCAGTAACTTCAAACCTGAAACAAAGAGCCACACCTACCCCATCAGATGAGGTGATCTAGCAGCTGAGTCCTGCTCAGAGTCAGCCCCACACAGAGAACCAAGAACCCTAGAAGAAAAAGGCTCAGGTTTTTTCACTTCAAATATGTGGAGAACCCTGGGGCTCCCAACACCCCTGTATGAGGACAGGTCCAGGGTGCTAGGCTGTCTCCAGGAATAGAGGCTAGAGGATCTAGGGGACCAGCAGTTCAAGGATTAACACATGCACTGCCATCAGTACAGAGGACCATTAAGGACAACCTGTCTTGATAAGAGCACTCAATATCACGCATGCCCCACCAGGCAGCTGAGGAATGATCGAGGAGGTGAACCAGAGACAGAAATGCACCCTACACTTGCAGCCACGAGAGGGAAAGACAGAGCTGCCAGGGGTCTTAGAGTCACCAGTGCCGACAACACCACAGCCAGGGCCACCAGCATCACCAGTGCCAGGACAACCAGTACCAGGGCAGTAGTACTGGCAGCAACTCAAACACCAGCACCAACAGTACCAATCATCCACCTGGTGAGACCTGTAGTCTCTGGGCCTGGTGCTGCCGGCTGCAGGTCCTAGAAGCTACATTCAGATGTCTACCTGGCTAGCGTTTGTGACCCCAATAAGGGTCACGATGACCCTTGCATTCCCAAACACCTCGGTTTAGGAGAGAAAAAATCACATAAGTTTTCTACGAATGAGGATGTAGAGCAAAAGGAAAAAGGTGACCTGCCCCAGATTATGGTCTCTTGGGGGGGATAAGAAGGGAGCAGAAATCACATTCTCAGCTCCAGGCAATGTGCTCCATGGCTGCAGAGTCAGGCCGCGCGGTGTTCCCCGGGGGACACCTTCTTGGCCTCCCTGTACTCATCCCTCCAACAGTGACCCAGATGTCTAACCGTGTCTACCCCATGGCTCTGCTCTGACACATCTGTGCATCAGTGTTGGCCAAGCATCCTGCACAGAGCCTGGCCTAAGAAATGGTGATATGTGCTATATCCGTGTCCACAGGATGGAGCCTCGAACCACTGTCTTATTTCTCCGGATTTTGATTCCCTGCTTCTGTGCAGCCCGAGCCCACCGGTGCTCACCCTCCTGAGAGAAGTAGGAGATAAGGAGAACCACCACAGAAGGGCTATGCTAGGGAGTAACCAATCCAAGAAGAGCGAGGGAGCTGGGGGCCATGTGATAAGTGAGGTGTAGCTGTCATGGGGAGGCGGGGAGGGCATGAGGACTTGAAGAAGCTAAGAGTCTCAACAGCCACGCCCTGAAATGACTCCACTCACCACCTCAGGTCAGGCAGATCCATAAGCCGTGCTCCAAGCACCCCATGCAACAAGGCCTCACTTACCCAAGCACAGACCCCCCTAGACCATGCGTGACTATTTGAGTGTTGTTCTCCCAGCTTGATGCAATTCCTGCCTCTTCCCCACCCTGTGCCTAAGTCCTGCAGCAGTCCCTTAGGCCTGGTTTTCTCGGGTGGAGAAAAGAGGACGCTAGCTTTTAAGGGCCTAAGAGCAGCCACAGGAGTAAGTCCCAACGCTTGCCCCTTCAGACTTAGAAAGACATCTTCCCCCTTCAGCTGACCCTACTGGTCCTGCACAAACCAAGCAGCCAGGCTTCTAGCTTCCGGCTTGGCCTTCTAGTAAGCATACACCTATGCACGTCACGAGCCTCAAGGTTTGTGAATACGGAGTGGAGACACGCTACGCACCTAAGGGACCGCTGGTGTAAATGACACGGTTGTTTCAAAGGACCACGTGCCTATTCTTTGTGGAGCTGCAAGAAATCCACCATGGGTCACCGTCTCATCGGACCAGCTCTGCTGCAGCAATGCACTGTGTCTGGCATTTAAGCAGGAGAGGAAGGCTCTCAGACTTCTCCAGCATAGAGTCGGTACACATCCAGAAACTGTGAATAGCAACATAGCATAACCAGGGGACTCTGCTTGCAAGAGCGGCTAAAGAAGGGCTGCCTAAGAGTTTATCGTTGTCATGATGGACCTAGAAGCCCATGCCAAGCAGCCTCTATCTCAAGCGCCACCCTGGCAGCCAAATGGTGACCCGAGCACTGCCACACCCTACTGGAGTGACCACTCACTCTTTCTCAGGTAGCCCGGCACTACAGTGAACATCCCTGGGTTCTACCAACTCTGCAACCCCTGAGGGGTCAAGCCAGTGAACTGCAGAGGCGTGAACCTCGGTTGTCAAGTCCACTCCTCCCTCCCTCCAGCTGGCAGAAGGTTCCTTTTCCTTGCCTATTGCAGGCCGGAAGCTCAGCCCTCCCTGGGGCTTCAAGAAATATGACCCTTAATGGACTGTCCAGGACAAGCGACAGGGTCTGGTGCAAAGTCTAGCACTGTTTATATTGCTGTGCTCAGAATATTTTCAGGGCCGAGCAACACTCTGCCTCCCCAGAAGCTACCCTGCACTGGCACTGCCCTGACCCTGTGTCAAGCTTCGGGCACACGTCTTGCATGTAAACGCCTGCTTTGGGAGCCTCAATTCCCGATTCAACGCTATGATAGAAGAGAATACTAACTTCGGCCACACTGAAGAGGGGCACCCAACGATCACTAGTTCTAAGTCACACAGGGTGGTAGGGATTTAAACCCAAAACAGCCGCCTGTCTCATGGTACCAACCATCTGGTCTCATGCTGTTCTCAGCTCCAGACACAGAGCCAGAAAATGATCCTATCGTATTTGCCTTTCCTATGGAACTGCCGGTCTTAATGCATTTACCACCACATCTTCATTTATCCTTTCTGCAGTGTGAGAGACCACCTGCCAGGTACCCACTGAGTCTCAGAGACAGAGGTAACCTCCTCAGGTCTTGGCCTTTGAGACATTTATAGTCTAGAGGACAAAAAGAGAAATAAGAACCGTCGATCAATAAATATCCATCAACATGGGAAAGAAGGGTAGCTCCAGGGAGGATTCTCAATATTATTATTATTATTATTATTATTATTATTATTATCAGCATTATGATATGATGATGATGATGATGACGGTGATGTTTATTTGTTTGTTTTCATTGTGTATCAGTCCTGGTTGTCCTGGAACTTGCTCTGTAGTCTAGGTTAGCCTTGAACTCACAGAGATCCGCCTGTTGGGATTAAAGGTGTGCACCACTACCTCGGTGGTTATTTTCTTTAATTTAAAAAGACTTACTTTTTGTCTTTCTCCCATAAGGTCCCGGCATCACGCCAGATACATCCATGGACATAGAAGACAGCAGATCTCCTAACAGTCACATCAGCAGAGAACTCTCAACTACTAGCCAGGACAGCCTGGCCTAAAGCATAGGAACACTCAAAAGGAGATGGGTCTTGGGGACTTACGTTTTGAAGGAGTTCCAAGTTGCCAGGGAGATCAGAGCAAATATTCGCATTGAGTCGAAGGTTGAGATACAGTCTTTTCTGTATTTTCAGCTATTGTCCTTGTCTCCAGTGGGCATCCAGCCTGGAAGAATCCATTAGGCCACTTGTAGCATCCCAAGGCAAGCCAGGTGAGTTCTTCCAGAATCCGCATCCACCAACATCACTCCTCAGGTAAGTGCATCTCACTGTAAAATCCACAGGGTTCAGGAAATCCCCAGGTGGGGCTCCATGTCATCCACAAGCACAGTCTTCTGGAGAGCATCTTCTTACCACAGTCATGCTAAGGTCGTGCCTGAGACAAGGGAGAAGAAAACAGTGTTGGCACAATCACAGGTGACAGGAGCGATCATCACTCCTCCCTTCTATGTGACACCGACCTGCTCACAGGGAAAAAAAAAAAAAGTGCTGAAATAAAAATACTCCCTATGACACTGGCAATCAAATACGGGTGAGTGGAAGGCCTAGGGAGAAAAGGTGAGGTTGGAGAAAACCTTCAGGGAATGTCACTGTGTGGTTTGCTAGCCCCCCCAGGCAAGGACATTTTAGCTGCAGGAGGATCCACAGAGCTGCCTGAGAGAAGCCTAAGACCTGACTGTGCCCACGGTGTTGATGAGAAGCAAGTTATTGGCTTGCCTGGGCTCACTAAAGATCAGGCCTGGCACCTAGCCAGGCTCCCCTGCAGGTCTGAAAGGTTCCATTAGAGAACCTACTAGGATTAGAGGCTTAGGGTCAGCTGGTCGGATGTCAGTCTTTGTTTTGTTTCTTTTTAAAGGCAACCACACAAGGCTGGCCTGGTTCCAGGTCCTGCCAGGCCCTGTGAGCTGCTTCACCAGGACAGAGCCTGGGCGTGTGGCTACTCTTATTCATTCAGCACTTCCTAGGTCCTTCCAGACTGGTCCAGCTGATATATCTGTGTCTCCTCAACCCAATGCATTCACATTCTCCTGGAAATCACAGAATGTGGGGCCCGGACTTCCCCAGCCACCCGAGAGCACTAATGGCCCTTCATGGAGCATGCGTCATCCATCCTGCTAGGAGCCTTGGCCTACCACATCCCGAATAATGTTGCGACCATCTGGAATTAGGCAACGAAGTTTACAGAATAATACTTGGAGGTACAGACAGTTGAGGGTGATTTACACCAGTAAGAGAGCAGCCAGAAGCAAGGCAGTCTAGTCTGTCTTCCAAGCCTGAGCCTCGACCCAGTGTCTGCATTACCCTGTGAGGAATACCCTCACAAGACGGCTACAACTTAAAACCGAGACATTTCACACACGGACAATCTCATTTCATCTTCACACACACACAAAGCTATGAGTTGCAAACTGTCATTGTTTGGTTGCCAAGATAAGAAACTTTAGGTCCGGGGCAGCAACTGGGAGGACCCTGTAATCCATTCAGCCTATCAGAGAGGAAGAAATACGGAAGAAGCGGAAGAAGCGAGGGTGGGAGGTGGGGGTGGGGTGATTAACACCATAGTCTCAGTTAACAGTGAGGGAGAAGAGGGAGAGCACATTATTAAATATTTACTGAGGGCCACAGGCAAATCTGAAACCAGGTTTATTTTGTTGTGGTCAAGTCCATTAAAGTTCTGTCACCTGAGGAAGAATTATCACATGGCTAGCCGAGCATTACCGTAGTCAAGTGGCAGTTCCTGACCAAAGGCAGAGGCAGCGTGGATGCTCAGGAGAAAACATACCACACCAGAAAAAGTACCTCACCTGCCAGAAAATATCATGGGAATGGGGCTCGCTACATGAGAGCTTCGGGTGTCCTCAAACCCAAATGCTTCTTTCATATTACCAACTGCTTACAGGCCGCGGAGCTAAAATATAAGGAGAGACCCCAAGGACCAGCCACTTAATGGAGCAGACAGGCATTCTGCAGAAGACAACTGTTTAAAAGTGATACACGGGGACACTGTTATGCACCATCTACTTATGTGGAGTAGATGTATGCCCTTTGGATCTAGGCTCTCCAGGTATAAGTGCATGGGAATGTGTGCATAAGAGCAGCAAGAGACAAGGCCAAGATACCCAGCATTCCTAGGAAAACTCCAGAAATGCGTGTCAGCTACGGGATGGACTTTAAAAGGTCACACAGAATCCAAGGAGCAATGAGCACAAGCCGAGTTCCAGTCATGCGTACAACACTTATCACAAAGGTAGCTGGGACTAGGCGAGAGCAGAGGGTGAGGGAAGACGGGAGGAAAGCACATTTATAAGGACACATAAAAAGTTAAAGCTTTCTGTGCTCTTACAAGTCAGGACCACAAGCCTGGTAATCTTCAATCCCTAGATCCCATGTAAAACCTTCGAGGGAAGAGCCAAGCCTACAAAGTCATCCTTGGATGCACAAGCAAAAAAATACTTTTAGTTGTGAGCCTAGCCTTTAAGGGCTGAGCCATCTCTCTCCACCCACCCCGAACTGCCACATTTTGTTGTTGTTTTGGTTTTTGTTTGTTTCCCCCACTCCTGGCAGGTTTTCTGTGTAGACCCCTCTAGACCCGGCTGGCTTCTATCTCAGAGATCGCCTGCCTCCGCCTGCACCACCACAGCCCAGCCAAGTGTGCACCAACATCACCAGGCTATGCGTAACCAAATCAATAGTGATGGTTAATTAAAATAACCAAAGGAAAAGATGTCAAAACAAAGTTATGCTGAGTGGCTGGTGTGAGACAGGGCATTGCTGGCTAATCCACAACCACTGAGCTGCTCTTTGCGGCTACTTCTGTGCATGTGCTCTAGCTCTGTACAGAGGGGGTTTAAACTTTTTAAGACTTTCCTGGGAAAGCGTGCTGTGGAGTCATCAAAGACATGGACTGGGGCCCTCCGGCTTGAGAATCGTCCGTTTCCGGGGCTCCCTACCCCTTTCACAGCATCTTCTCACAGCCTGCTACAGTCAGCTGGCCAGGCCTGGAAGGCAGCCAGGAGGAGGCCCACCAGGAAGCGTGCTTTAACTTAGTGACACAGAAATTGCCCCCACTAGAAAATACAGCCTCAGGTCCTTTCTCTTGGCTGAGTCTTTTTCCTCTCTGTCTCCCGGACCGTCAGGTCCAAATGTGTCATTTCCTTCTTGACCCTCCCTCCTGGATATTTTTTCCAGCTGAGCCCTGCAAGCAGACACCGGTAAGAAGCGCAGGCCTACCCAACACCAGCAGAGGAAAGACCTATGTGCATCAACCCCCCTTGAACACAGGTGAGCTGAGGAATGCTTTGCAAGCTACAGGGGTCAATCCAAGGTGCAGTCCCCAGAGAAGGGACAGAATCCCTGGCGTTCATTTTGTGTCCCACCGTTTATGACCTAGTGTTCTCCCCTCCCTTCCCCAAGGATGTCTTGACACTACATATATGTATGCACACACAACTGAGTTTCTCATTCCCCTTTTCTGTCTTCTAGAACTCTCCACTGTGCTGTTAATATCAATAGATGTCAATTCTAATGCCCGGGCAGCACAGCCAAAGGACCACAGTACTGACTGCAGGGGCTGGAAAACCGTCCTAGGAGGTCAGACTCACTCAGTCTCCCTGCCCTCCACCCCCTCTCTCACTTGGAAAATTAAGATTTCTTAAACACAGCAAAGAAGACATCTTCCCTCCCTCACTGGAGCACAGAAGCAGCTGCCACCAAGACACGCCTTTGCACTGCGAGGACCAGACCTGGCCCACCCTGGGAAGACACATCAGGATCTGTTTCCAGACAACACCGGAACTATCCTCCTGCAGACAGACTCCATTTCTGATTTGTTTCCTTTCTTCCCCAAGGTGCTGGATTAACAGGGATCAGCTGCTTTGGAATCCCCAAGCTTCCCACTCACGCATTCAGGGAATGGAATATGAAGTGACCCAATAAGCAGAGAGGGGTGCAATAAGCCAGAATGTGACCCCCCCCACACGTGTGGTCATGGCTTTGTGACCTCTGGCACATCCTTTGAAGGTAGCTCTTGCAGGTACCCGGAAGATGCTGTTCCTACAGAAATTCAGAACTGGGTACGGTTCTCAACACCTACATGATGGCTCACAGTCATCTGTAATTCCTGTTCTAGGAGATGCAAAATTCTTTTCTGACCTCCCCTGGCACTAGGCACACACATGGCATGCACATATACATACATACATACATACATACATGCGTATATACATACGTGCATATGAAACACTCATACCCAATAAGAACTACAAACAAACCTTTCAAAAGAAAGACAGCAGACAGCGGTGGTGCATACCTTTAATCCCTGCACCTGGAAGGCATAGGCAAGTGGATCTCAGTGAATTCCAGGCGAGCATGGTCTACAGAGGCAGTTCTAGGACAACCAGGGCTACCTTGTCTTGAAAAAAGAGAAAAAGAGAAAGGGGGAGAAGGAATGGGAGGGAGGGAGGAAGGGAGGGAGGGAGAGAGGAAAGGCAGGCAGGCAGGCAGGCAGGCAGGAAGGAAGGAAGGAAGAATCTGTTCAATTAAAAAAAGAGGGGTGTCCTCTGGCTTCATTTGCTGAGATATCAAGAAGGGACAGACAGAGAACTAAGATGGACTGTGCTCACAATCCAGGCAACGTCCCCATCACCCTGGACAACTCAGACCACCATGAATGAGGCTTCAGAGATACAAGCTGAACTCACTGGAGTTGTTAAGGTAACAAAGGACGTGAAGGTTCATCTTGCTCTCCAATTTGACCCGTTGAGAAGCAGGGAGGTGACCAGCAGAGCTCATCTAAGGGTGTGCCTGTGAGGGTGTCTGCAGGTGGGATTAACTAAGGGGGTCGGATCTGCTTTGATTTCTTCTTACCCCCCCCCCCAAGACAGGGTTTCACTTGTTTTAGAGCCTGGCCTGGAACTAGCTCTTGTAGACCAGGCTGGCCTCGAACTCACAGAGATCCACCTGCCTCTCCCTCCCAACTGCTGGGATTAAAGACATGCGCCACCAACGCCTGGCAGATCTGCTTTGAATGCAGGCATTTCCATTCCATAGGATCCAGCCTGTTTGGGGGAAAAAAAAAAAAAAAAAAAGACAGGCGGCCTCTAGCAGGTATCTGCTTTTTCCTGGCTGCTGTAAGAGAACCACTTTCCTCCCACAAAGATCTTACCCCTCTGAAACAATGAGCTAAATCTGTGATGGCTACTCTTTGTTCTCAACTTGACTACATTTAGAATTAACCAAAACCCAAAGACTGGGCACATACGTGAGGTTTTTGTGGGGTTTTTTTTTTCCCTTTGGTTGGTTGATTTTTTTTTCCAGAGTCAGGGAGTCTCAGATTGGAAGTTGGTTGGGTTTTTTGAGACAGGGTTTCTCTGTGTA